TGGGTCTTCATTTAGGAAATGCCAGTAAAGGTGGAGAAAATGATAAAGTCTAGTAATGAGAGATATTAGAATTTCATTTTTTTAATATCTCCCTTTTCTCTTTTAAGTTTATGCTGTCTTAATGAATACAGTATTTTTTTTTTTCCTTTTGTAGTAATGCAAGCATTGTTTTAAAGTTTGTTTTTTTAATACAGAATCGCCATTGCAGCTTCTTCGAAATGTTTCTTATTTGACTGTCATTTCTTGGACTTCACATTTAAAAACTTGTATTTGTATCATGCTTCAAATATTTCATGATGATAATTTTGACGTATTCCGTATTGCATCCTAAGCCAATGGCTCTGGAACAAGTATTGTCAGACAGAGATAGTGAGGATGAAGTAGATAATGACATTGCTGCTCTTGAAGACAGAAGGGTATGTTCGGCTAATTTATTATTCTAAATCACTTATATGAATATATGATTATCAATTTTGACAATTTTGTGAACAGTTAGTCTTTGTTTCTACTTTATTCTTTGAATCCCTGACTGTGTACCTCATCCCTTGGTACTCTTTGCTCACTAAACTGTGGATGGTATTTGCCTTGCATTGCAGATGCTTGATGATTTTGTGGATGTGACCAAAGACGAGAAACACCTAATGCATCTATGGAACTCATTTGTTCGAAAGCAGAGGTAAAACACTTTTTATGCAGCTCTTAGATCTCTCATTTTCTCTTTACATTGTGCATGTCTGCATCGTGGCACCCTTATGACTTAGTTTTATAATGCTTACGTGCTTTTGTTGTTTGGCTTTGCTTAACTTGTTAATTTTCATGGAATAGGGTTCTGGCTGATGGTCATGTTCCCTGGGCTTGTGAAGCATTTTTGAAAGTTCACGGCAAGTTGTTGATTGAATCGCCTGCTCTTTTCTGGTTAGTTCCATTACATTTTGTTCATTATGATAGTATCTGACAAACCATGCCCTTGGAATTAATCGTCTTTTATTTCTCTCTCCTCTTTTCTCAGGTGTTGGAGGTTTTTTATGATCAAACTCTGGAATCATGGTCTTCTTGATGCCGGTACTATGAATAATTGCAGCATACTTCTTGAGAAACAACGAGATGAAGCTTCAACGGATGGAAACTCGCTCAAACACCAACAAAAATGAGCTGAAGGAGATGATATTTGTTTATGCTCAAAAGTTAAGGTAATAGATCATCTGGCCTCCATGCTGTACATTCCTTTGTCTTGAGAAGCGTTTTTACATCCGGAGAAGGGGTGTTGGACTGTTGGCGCTCTGTAGGCAATCGAGTTAAAAAAGTTGGTAGAGGCGTTCCATATCCAAAGTAATATAATCATTGGTTCTATATATTACCTTGGAGAATAATATGTACGCTTTATGCTACTCCGTATTTATCAATTGACCACATTCTTTTTCTGTATCCAACTTAACCAATTGTTAGATTATAGACCCAGGAGCTGCAATGTATGGTCATTGATGCTCTCGATCAATGTTCTATTTCATAGTTCCATTTTCTTTATTGAACTAGATTAGTACCCGTGCGTTGCACGTTGGTGATAAGTAACTAATCCATATTTTTTTTAATATCTTTTGTTTGTTGATAACTTTTTAAGTTAAATACTTTTTATAAATACAAAAAACATGTACATAATCCTTTTTTTTAATGAATTTTTTTTATTTATGCTATATCATAATATTCTTATTTATCGAGCTTATACATTTAGAGTGGAAGTTAAAGAAACAGTATCTATATCTATTAAATATTGTTGTATTAAAATATTCAACATTAGTACGGAGTATATAGCAATATTGATATAAAATTCAAGTTTTAAATTTTTATTTTCATACCTACTTGGTCCTAATTTTTAGCAAGTAAAATGAAAGGGCAGACAAGAAAAAAAAATAAAAAAAAAAATAAAAAAATAAAAAAAAAAAAAAAATTGATGACATCATATTTAAGTTTGAAGGGAAAATTTTCAATGAGTGTTTGACACATAAGATACAGGAATTGATGACATCAACACGTTTTGTTTTAGAACTAGTTTTTTTTTTTTTTTTTTGAAAACTAGAACTAGTTAATACTACCTACGTTAAATATTAGTTGTAACTTTCGGGTATTATTTGTGAGATGTAAAATATTCCAAAGTTGCAACTAATATTTAACGGAGGTAGTAGATGTTATTTATAATGAATGATATATTGTTTATGAATAATGAAGATGAGATATTTTATTTTGAATTGCATGTACATCACAATCCTAGGTGAAAAAATTAGATTGCGCTAATGAAACTGATCTAATTCTTCTAGACTCACGCAAGGTAATACTTCATTTGAATTCACCCAAGGGAAATGCATATAAAAAAAAAATTAAAAATTAAAAAAAAAAAAAAAAAAGACTCAATTTAGTAATGCACGAGATCTAGTAAATTTATGAAGTATGTATTTAATAGAAGGAAGAATCCTTGATTTTTTTTATTTTATTTTTTTCAATTATGTAATTGCCTAACTTGAAAGGATCTATAAGCAAACTCTCTATTTCCCTAAAATAAAAAAATCAAAATGCCTTAATGAATAATGAGGTATCAATACATTAACTTGAAAGGATCTCTAAGAAAACTCTATATTTCCCTAATAAGCAAACTCTATCAAAACAATTACAAAGTACTGTATTTTCACGAGCAACAAGTAAGGATGTACGAAGTAACGATGGTAACAGATTAGATTGTGTTCGTGTAACTACGATATATGATGCCTATCTAAACTCTCACAAATACTATTTACTTTGTTTTTTTATTAAGTGCATGACTATGACGTTTGCATCATTCAATATACTAACTTTGACTAAATAATTATCACTAATATACTAATGTGATTTTTATCATTTAAAATGTTATTGAATTAGTCACAATGCATGTTTTTCACGGGTATTAAGAAACTTAAGTGGGAAGTACAAGTGTATGGGGAAGCTAATTTTATTTGACAAGAGTATGAGGAAGCTAATAAAAGTACACTGAAAAGGTAAATTTAGGCCCTGTTTAGTTCACCTTATTTTTACTTATTTCAGAAAAAATAAATTCAGATCAGATCAGAAAAAATCAGTTCAGATCAGATCAGGAAAAATAAGTTCAGATCAGATCAGATCAGATCAGAAAAAATAAGTTCAGATCAGAAAAAATAAGTTCAGATCAGATCAGATCAGAAAAAATAAGTTCAGATCAAATTATTATTATTATTATTATTATTATTATTATTATTATTATTGATTTATGATGTATCGGATTTGATTTTATCGTTTGTTTGAACTAGCAATATTGTCTATGTTATTAAATAGCACAAACAATAAACGATAATAATTAAAATTTCATTATAAGCTCCAAATCATAAACGTTTACAAATATAATTTTCATTACAAGAAGTTCCAAATTTCCTTCGCTATATTAAGTTGTACTTCTTTCATTACAGCTATATTAATTCTCATTAAACAAATCATAATCGGCTCTTGGTTCGATTTCTATACCACTATCAATGGGTATATCCAACTCATGTAATCGAATAAAATTGTGAAGTGTGAATGTAGCAACCATAATTGCCAATTGTGAAGTGTGGGTCGGATTAATTCGGGTCGGCTCATTTCGGGTTGACTACATTAATACACATGCACCTACAAAGTAATAGTATTCGTAAATAGTAATTACTAAATTTGAATAAAGAATGCACATGCATCAAAAAAGTAGTGGTATTCATAAATTTTCATAGGTTTTTTTGAGACGTAAATTATAATACATTTGATAATAGAGATTTTTTTTGAAAATATTTGAATAAGCTTAAATAGGAAAATAACTCATAAAATTAGGGAAAGAAAAAAAAAATGACGTAATCTTAGATTGCTACTTAATTTCGGGTCAATAACAAGTCGGGTTGATTTCAGGTTGGGTTAATGATAGATCGGGTTGAATTCGGGTCGGGCTAGTAATAGGTCAGGTTAAATTCGGGTTGGGTTAGTAATAGGTCAGGTTAAATTCGGTTCGGGTTGAATTCAGGTCGGGTTAAATTCAGGTTTTGACGGGTTAAAACGAGTCAATGTGTCATTCCCACGCAACCATACACGCATGAATAAAAAAAAGGTTCAATAGAGGAACAAATGAATAAAAAAACACTTAAACGCCCTAAACAAGTTAAATATAAAAGCTTAAATAAAAAAAGGAAAATGAAATCTAATAATCACACCTTTGCTCCATCTTCCAGAAACAATCTCACCTTTTGAAATTTTAGAAACAATTCCATTAACAATAATGATATTATTATTATTATTTAATAATAATAATATAATATAATATAATAGTAATAATAATAACATAATATAATATAATATAATATAATATAATATAATATAATATAATATAATATAATATAATATAATATAATATAATATAATATAATATAATATAATATAATATAATATAATATAATATAATATAATATAATATAATATAATATAATATAATATAATATAATATAATATAATATAATATAATATAATATAATAATAATATAATATCATAGTAATATAATATCATATAATAATAATAATAATAATATAATAATAATAATATAATATAATATAAATTAAATTATCATAATATAATAATAATAATAATTATTATTATAATGATAATAATAATAACAATAATAATTAAACATTAATATTGATTAACATTAAAAGTAGAATATTGAAATAATTAAAATAAGGTCAGATCAGAAAAAATAAGTTCAGATCAGAAAAAATAAGTTCAGATCAGATCAGATCAGCTAAAATCAGGTGAACTAAACAACCTCTTACATGGGATTCGCAGAAAAGTGGAGAGAAAAAATAATAAAAATACATGAAAAAGCAAAATTTATATTGGGAAACTAATTTTGTACAAATATTATTGCAGATTGAAAGGTATTTTAATGCAAATGGGATGAACATTTTGGGACTAAAATTTGGCCAAAAAGGTCATTTTTTTAGGGACGGAAGGAGTAACATTAATTGTTTATATACTTCCTCTGTTTTTTTTTCACTTGACCCGCTTTGAATTTTATACTATTCGCCACCCCTCCTCTGACCTTCTTTTGTGAATAATATATAAGGAAAAATACATTCATATGAGATATTTTTGAATTTGTCTCAATAAATACTATCATAATATACACACAAATGTAATAAAAGAAACAGATCAAATAAAAAAAAATAAAGAAAAATACCACCCTCTTCACAACTCCCAATTAATTTTAGAAACCCCCAAATTGAGAATTGACAAATGCAAATAGAATGGCGCGAATATACCGGGCTTATTCAAAATTTTTAATTTTCGTCTTCTTGAATTGAAAATATAAAGAAATGGCAGAAGTGCAGAACTGGAAAAAGAACTTGGAGAGAGAATTCCAGAGTGAGAATACCACACAAATAACTTGAAATCTTAAGCTTCATATGTTATGAGAAATCCCAGATCTCAGGTACCCATTTATTAATCTGTAAAACCCATCTCAAATTCTTCATCTTTATTGTTTATCATGCTTTTTGGTAATTCATTTTTTGTAATTTTCTATTAAATCATCTGAAAGTTTGCATCTTTGCTCCAGGATTCAGGCTCTTCATTCTCTTCAATTTCCCAAATTTCAGGTGATTTTTTTTTTTTTTTTTTTTGGGGGCAAATCCTGCTTAGCTGACATAATTATTAATTTTATTATGTGGGCATAATATACCCTTCGTATCATTTTTCTGAATTAATTTATAGTCAGTTCAATTTCTGGGTACCTTTAATTTTTTATAGAACTGTCAAAATTTGAGAATTTCAATTTGAGGGTTTTTAAATTATTATTTTTTCTCTTGTTGGGTAATTTCTCATTTTTCTGCTGAATAATGCTGAAGTTGTTATTAATCTGATTTGCCTAAAATTGGTTGATTTCAGAGCCTCTTGACATAAAGCAGTGGTTTTCAAGTTACAATTACCAATCTCCTGAATTAGACACAAATGAAGACTTCTGTTTATCTCAGAGAGTTGATGTTGAAGAGAGGGGATTGTACGTTGAAGACAGTGAGACTGAAGATGAAGGAACATGTGAAGATTTCACAAAGATTAATCGCTCCGTCGCCATTCTTAAATCCACTGAGGAAGCTAAGAAGCATGACTTTCCAACTCTTCCTGCTGTTGAGGTATTGTGATTTATCTTTGAAGTGAAATTGTTTCGATTATACAAATAGTTTTAAGACCATGATAGGTTTTTTTGGGAGAACCTTGAAAGAGACTGTTTGTTTATCTGGGAAATCTGAATGAAAGTTCCTTAACAGAATACAGATTTACAGTTGTTTATGTATCTGTCCTGAAAACAGGAGGTCTTGTACACAATAGGTGTATTCACAGTATACAAAAGTCAGCAGACTTAGTGACCCTAAAGGTTTGCATATTGCTTAAATGCTTGTCTTTTTTGTCATGTGGATGGCTTTAGTCGTATGGCATAAACCGCATATTCGACTATTGTATAGTTGTCTTGGTAAAGAAGCACATTATATCTGGCTACAGTTTACTTGAGGAATGAATTGGTTACTTGAGGAATAAATTGGTTACCTGATAATCTTTTGTTGGTATTCAACAATATGGTTCTGCATTCCTGAAGTTTGAAGGTGTACTTGTATAACTCCAGTATTGTTTTACAACTTCTTGAATCGTTGGACTTTAGATTTGTAGAATGTAAATTGGTCTGTAATTTGCCTCTCTTTGTTTTATAGGTTTCAACCAATCCAGACTCGCTCTCACTTCCATCTGGTTTGTGCTCATTCCTCTTTGTTTATTAAGCAAACTTCACATATAAGATATTACTATTGATGTGATAATTAAACCCTTGTGCTTGCTTGTGCACTTCAGAGCCTCCTGACATCACAAAATGGTTCTCAAGCTATGTGTACGAATCTCCAGAAGTAGATAGTGCTGATTTTGATGTTTCACTTTCAAGTGCCTATACTTCTGGGAATAAGAAAGAAGTTAACAAGGGAAGGGTAGATCATCTAAAGGAGTTTTCAGTAACAAAAGTCAAAGATGAAATGCTTAGCTGCAGGGAGACAGTTACAAGACCTAGTGGAGCTGAGAACAACGCAAACCCTTCTACTCCCCAGGTATGCTCTTTCATGAGGATGGCTTTTGTAACAACCGTAAGGTGTAAGAAGGTGTTGTATAGTTGTCTTTGTAAAAAACCACATTATATATGGCTACACTTGAGGAATATATATTGGCTACTTGATAGTCAGAAACAAAGTGAACTAAAAATATGCACTGGAGTGATATTGTGATTTTAGTATACTTTGTATTAAGGATGTCTTTTGTTGGTACACAATAACATAGTTATGCGTTACTGAAGTTCTACGATCTACCAGTATAAGTCCAGTACAATCTTACTACTTGTTGAATTCTTGTACTATAGATTTGTAGAAGGTATTAGTTTGGTCCGTAATCTTCGTCTTTCTTTTATAGGTTCCATCCTATCCAGACTCGCTCTCACCTCTATCTGGTTTGTGCTTGTCTCTCGTTGTTTATCATGGAAACTAAACATATAAGTTATAACTATTGATTTGATAATTTAAAACTCTTGCTCTTGCATGTGCACTTCAGAGCCTCCTGACATCACAAAATGGTTCTCAAGTTATGTATACGAGTCTCCAAATCAGAGAGTGCTGATTTTTGATGTTTCACTTTCAAGTGTTTATACTTTTGGGAATAAGAAAGAAATTGACAAAGAGAGGGAAGATCAATTAAAGGAGTTGCCTGTAACAAAATTTAAAGATGAGATACTTAGCTGCAGGGAGACAACTACAAGACCTAGTGGAGTTCAGGAGAACAAAAACCCTTCTGTTCCCCAGGTATTGCAAGTCTTTATCCCAACTTTTGCTTAAAAGAAAGTCCTTTTTTTTTTTTTTATTGCAAATCAGTCCATTATAGTTCATAGAATGTCACTACTAAATATTTTACCAAGTGACCAATTCCTCTCTTTTCTGTTTGAAATGTGCAGGAGGATGGTTCAGAAAGTAGTAACTTGTCTCTCAAGAACAGTTTTTGTGTTAAAAGAACTATAGATGAACATAATACCCTCCCGGATAAATCTGTTGCATGGGAAAGAACTACAGATGAACATAGTTTACCAATACAGCAAGACGAACAGCAGCTGAGCAGCATAAACCATTTGAGATCACCTGCAAAGGCTTCTTGTTGTAGGGATAGGGCATTTACTGAAACTGCTGAAGAGAAGACGGAAAAGAAGTTTATAGCTGCTGAAAATGATTCCGGCTGGATCTCGCTTAATCATAAACCAAGAGAAGATTGTTCTAAAAGTATCACAAAGGAGAGAGGAGAATACATTTCTGCAGAAAATCGCTTAAGTTCAATGAAGAGTAAAGTAAGGCCAAGGATCAACAAGGAAAATTCTCCTGTAAATTTGCTTTATTCTTCTGATGGGCAGAAGGATAAAAAGTTGAGAAGAGAGGTCCTTAAAGAAACAACTAACTTTGACTATTCTCGTGTGCCAGAGGTTGCTGGGAAATGGAAATGCCCACAGAGATATAAACCAAACATTGGACCTCCTCTGAAGCAGCTCCGACTTGAAAGATGGGTTTATAAGATGTAAATTGTTGCTACTGTCACTATGATATACAGGTCTGAACCCTCTGATGATATGTAATGCAGTATGATAAGCGTTTCTAGCAGTACTACAATATTTGATCAAAAATGAAAATTTTGCAAGATATACAATGAGACTTGAGTGCAAATTGTGGGATCGGTAGTGATACTATTGTCTGTATCACTGTATGCACCTTGTTATTTCAGTGGAAAGCAAGCTTTCTTAAGTCCCACACTCAAATGTTGGAACGGTTTGAATGGTTGTATCAGCGCAGGAGCAAACATTCTCAAAGGACTGTACATGATGATTTGTGTATGGGGATATGAGGATTGCTACATTGGATAGCCTGTAATTTTATGGCAAGAGAGCACAGTATGCTCTTGAAATGCTTGGTTATACTTTTGTATATATATATATATATATATATATATATATATATATATATATATATATATATATATATATATATATATATATATATATATATATATAATAAGGAAGATATTATTTCCTCTAATTCTCTTATTCTATCTAACACTTGCTAGGCCTAAAGTATTATGAAGATAATACATCGTAATAAATTAATAATCGATATATACACTTATTATATATAATATATGTGCAATATGTGTACACAAATAGTATAATAAACATACTACATTGGTAGTCGAACGTTCCAGCCAATCGGGTCTCCATTGAATATTTTCCATTAGAAGCATTCTTTACCAAAGCGAAATCTGCAACTTTGGCCCTCATATCATCTCCCGGCAAGATATTAGAAGGTTTCAAATCTCTGAGAATGAAACTTATTTGCGTCAAACTGTGTAGATATTCAACTCCCTTGGCTACACCCAAAGCTATGGAGATTCTCTACTTCTAGGTAAGAGGGGGATATCTAAGCTCTTGCCACTCAAACAAATGTTGTCCCAGGTGCCCTTGTGGCATGCACTCGTATACCAAAAGCCTCTCGTGCCCATTGGTGCAGGAACCTAAAAGGTAACCAAATGTCTGTGCCTGACTTTTGTAAGGACTGTAATTTCAGCTTGAAACTCATCCCTTTGGTGCCCATAACTGTAGCTTCCATCCTCTTAACGACAATCTTAGTCCCATCATGGAGCTTCCCTTTGTAAACAACCCCAAATCCATTATTTAATGTTTATAGCACTCTTTTTGTTACTTAAAAGTACATGTAACTAATTCAAGTAGATTATCTTAATGATTTTAAATGAGTGTTCATATGCACTTGATAACATGTCATTTTTGGCTGCTTTAACTAAAGATATGTGTATCAATTCTTTTTGTGTTTTTTTTCTTTTTTAACAAACTTGAATATTGTTTTTACTTTTACGAGACACGTAATAAGATTTATTACAAATCTTAACCTTTTTTGTTATAACTTTATCATATATCAATTTTAACACCCGACTCTCAAATCTAAAGAAATACTCTAACCAACTAAACTGTTATTACGCGTCTAACTGTCTAACCACTCTATAACATATATCATTCATTACCCAAAATCCAAATTATCAAAAGCCAATCTTGATTCTTGAAACAATTTGAGGTTGAGATGAAATGATGAACTTAACTTCTAAACTCTCAAATTCGGCCCACCTCAACTCACTAACTCACAATCACAACATCCAATCTCTCGTCTTTCTCACGTTTTTCTCGCGTGCCTCTCTCTTTCTCTCTCCTCTCCTCTCTCTTTCTCTCTCTACGATCTACGCTTGAACATATGCAGACAACACAGACTCCTCTTTCTGCAAATTCCTGGATAAAATTTGCTACTACAATTCCATTTTACCTAATTTCTGAATTTCAAAGGTACAATCTTTCTTCAAATTCCATCTAATTTATAATTTAATTCACCTTTAAGCATTATACATGCTTAGAAATTGGTGTAAAATAGTATGAATTTATGAAATTTTAATAATTTGGTGTTTTATCATGTTTAGTTGACCATAATTTATCTGATTTTTAAGTACCCACATGTTCTTTTTCTGTTAAATTGTTAATATTTTGATATTATAGAGGATTGTATTTGGGTTTTTGATTTTGTATTGTATATGTACGTTGAATTTGGGGTTTTGAGTTGTGGCTTTTATTTTTCTGATATTAGAAATATAATGTATAATGTTTAATTTTGGTAGCTATGAATATCTTCAAAAATGTATTTTTGTATTGTATAATTGAATTTATATGCAAGATTTATGTTTTCCCTAGGGTAGGTCATGGCTGGGAAGAAGCTAATAGCTATATGTCAGGCCGGGGGTGAATTCGAGACCGATAACGATGGTATTATCACCTATAAAGGTGGAGAGGCTCATGCCATTGATATTGATGATGAGATGAATTTTAATGCCTTTAAGATGGAGGTAGCTGAGATGTTCAATTGGAGTACTGATATAATGTCTATGAAGTACTTCCTTCCTGAAAACAAGAAGACTCTCATTACAATATCCAATGATAAGGACTTGTTGCGCATGATCAAGTTCCATGACTGTCGTGCAATTGTTGATATATATGTCATAATTGGAGAGAACCTTGCTCCTGAGGAAGTCTCTAACATGCCTATCAGTAGGTATATGTCTTGCCGTTCTAATTCGATATTATTTTCGAAAATTGGCATTTTAGTTTGGTTTTTTATTTTTATTTTGTAAATATATTGAGGGGTGTTATATTTAGGTCAAGCAGAACCTCTTTATCTCAGGAAATGGTGCCTCTTGATGCCCCATTGATGTGGTGGAGGATACTAATCATCCTGATGATGTGCATTTTATTGCTCCTCTTGATATTTCCAACACTGATGCCCAAATCGATATACCAACTGAAATATCTGCTGTAGTGCCCCTCACTAGCTCCGGTGATGAGAAACTTGTGAAAGCTGCTCATCAATGGCAGAATAATATTACTGGTGTCGGCCAGAGGTTCAATAGTGTCACAGAGTTTCGTGAAGCATTACGTAAATACGCCATTGCTAATCAATTTGCATTCAGATATAAAAAGAATGATAGTCACCGTGTGACTGTCAAATGCAAAGCAGAAGGTTGTCCGTGGAGGATTCATGCATCAAGGTTATCAACTACGCAGCTAATTTGCATCAAGAAAATGAATCCTGCACATACTTGTGAAGGAGGTGTTCATACCACAGGATATCAAGCAACTAGAAGTTGGGTGGCGGGTATTATAAAAGAGAAGTTGAAAGTGTTCCCAAATTACAAGCCTAAGGATATTGTCAATGACATTAAACAGGAGTATGGAATTCAACTGAATTATTTCCAGGCATGGCGTGGAAAAGAAATTGCCAAGGAGCAACTGCAAGGTTCCTATAAAGAAGCTTATAAGCAGCTACCGAGTTTCTGTGAAAAGATAATGGAGTCAAATCCGGGTAGTTTAGCTACTTTTACTACCAAAGATGATTCTAGCTTTCAGCGTCTCTTTGTCTCATTTCATGCCTCATTATGTGGATTCCAGCAAGGCTGTCGGCCTCTACTTTTTCTCGATAGCATTTCTTTAAAGTCTAAATATCAAGGAACACTTCTAGCTGTCAATGCTGCTGATGGGGATGATGGTGTCTTTCCAGTTGCATTTGCTGTGGTTGATGCTGAAACTGATGATAATTGGCGATGGTTTTTATTGCAACTGAAATCAGCAATGCAAACACCTGGCTCAATAACGTTTGTGGCAGATAGACACAAGGGGTTGAAGGAGTCAATTGCTGAGATATTTGAGGATTCTTTTCATGGTTACTGTTTAAGGTACTTGACTGAGAATCTTATTAAGGACCTGAAAGGGCAATTTTCTCATGAAGTGAAACGCCTCTTGGTTGAGGATTTCTATGCTGCTGCTTATGCTCCTAAGCTTGAAGGTTTCCAGAGATATGTTGACAGCATTAAGAGTATCTCCACAGAAGCTTATGACTGGGTCATGCAAAGTGAACCTGAGTACTGGGCAAACGCTTTCTTCAGGGGTGCAAGATATAATCATCTGTCATCAAACTTTGGTGATATTTTTTATAACTGGGCATCAGAGGTGCATGAGTTGCCCATAACACAGATGGTCGATGTTATTCGAGCTAAGATACTGGAGTTGATTAGTGCACGGAGATTGGAGTCAGCCCAGTGGTTAACAAGGCTAACCCCATCTATGGAACAAAAACTTGACAAGGAAACCTTGAAAGTCCCTCCCCTTCAAGTTTTGCTCTCTGCTGGTAGTACATTTGAGGTGCGCGGAGACACCATAGAAATAGTTGACATTGATCAATGGGATTGTAGTTGCAGAGGATGGCAGTTGACTGGTTTACCCTGCTTCCATGCTCTAGCTGTTATTGGCTGCATGGGAAGGACTCCGTACGAATATTGTTCCCAATATTTTTCAGTTGAAAGCTATAGGTTAACATACACTGAGACAGTGAATCCTGTCCCAAGTGCTAATGAATCGTTACAAAATGATTCATCTCAGGCTGCAGTGACAGTTACCCCTCCTCCTACACGTCGACCTCCGGGCCGGCCCACAAAAAACCGTTTTGGTTCACAGGAGGTTGTCAAACGTCAGCTGCAGTGTAGTAGATGCAAGGGCATGGGACACAATAAATCAACATGCAAAGAGATTTTAACGGAACAGTAATAGCGGTAAGCATAAACTTACAACCAGCTATATATAGAAGCATCTTCACTTGTAGAATAATAATTTAATGTTTGTAATCTGTGCTTGTTGCATGATTTGCTGCGTTTAATCATCTCCTTTGTGTCCTAAAAACCTTAAAAGTTTTTTGAAGGCTTATATTGAAGAATTCAAAGGATACTTTAATGCTGGATCTATTGTAGGTCTGCCTTGTGAATGTTATGAAAGAATAATTGTATGTGACTACTGCATTGTAGTAGATATAATGTGGTCTACTGGTCTAGAATCAATTTTTGATGTTTCATGGGTGTGTTGTGGACATATAAGATACTATTCCTGTTGATTCCTTGTTCTTGGCTACTTTGTTAACCTCTCTGGTATTATGTCAAAGGTCTTGTTGCTGTGGGTACATGGATCAAAATGTTAGATGCTAAGCCTATGGGTGCTAGCGTTGTACTGCGCTGCTATTTCCTGCAGTTTGCTTTGCAAAAGTTGTAATCCTTATCTCCGCTGTGGATTTTGCAAGTTGCTTTTGATAGAAAACCTACGTAAATAGACTCAGCATTTTTTTTTGCATCTCTTCTGTTTGACTTGAGTTCTTGTTTGATATCTTTTATGTTCTGAGGAGACAAGAAATTGTTTGTGCTAGCTGTTCTTGAGGGTTTATTCAAGGTTTTGTCAATCCCAAAACAGGGGTAAACGAATATAAAATAAACTTAAGGATTTTGTTGTATTATTATCTCATGATTTCCTTCAATTTTTCCTTTCATGTTCTCTATGCTAGATTACTAGTCATGTGAAGAGTCAGATCAAGAGAGACATGCATGCATTTTAAATACTTATCTTGTTGAACCTTCAGCTCAGTTGGAAGTTTGCGTATTGATTTATAGATCAATGCCTTTTATGCTGTCGTGTTAAGCTTTGATGTCTTTATTATTGTTTACACAACTTATCGCTGCTCCAGTTTTGTTCAGCTATTGGATTCTGCTACAGTTTTGTTCAGTTATTGGATTGTTTCTTATTTTTGTTTCCTTTTCAGTCGTTTCCTATATTTCATCAAATCGTCTAACCATAATCATTTCTATGCTTCAGGGTGGATCCATGATATCAAAATTTGGAATAGCCAAGGCAGTAACAGAACAAGGCTCCTAATATAAACAGTTTCCTCCTCTTCAGTATCAGATTCTATGTTAGATCTTAATTTACTCAACTCTAGGGCCTCATTTTGTTTCTTTGCTTGCGGCTTTCTCGTCAGTGATTGGCTTCTATGTACATAATAGATTTATTTGGCCTGTATGATCTGATGGAAAGGATGTCTTTAATCTCATCTCATTGGTTAGTAATCATCTTTATCAATGAGCTTAAATTTCTTTAGTGGGCCCATGTTTAGAAGAATAGACAGATATCTATACTAATTTACTTGACATTTCTATCATTAAAGTTTGTATTTTGGTTGGTGTGTTCCAACCTGAAGAATTCAACCAAAAGAAACACAAAGATACAGCTCATTTTTTGATCTACTGCTAGTACATCTGTATAAAAGTACTACTATTACAAGGTTGTACTGCATGAACTTAAGAAGTACATCTTTTAATGTGGTACTTCTGCTCTAAAAACGTTACTTAGGTACCAGCATGTAGTACAAGCAATCATGTTTCTGGTACTTCCCCATTTCGACTTGTTTATATATAGAGCTTGTTGCTCGAGGAAATGCAACAAGAGCTTTAGATTACTCTACAATACCCAAAAAAAAAAAAAAAAACACTTAAGTATTTTATTTTTTCGTATTGAGACACAAAGTGCGGGATCTGATCCTAAGTTTTGGGTATTATTCTTGTTAAAAAAATTATTCTGTCTTACATTTGTAAGCATAAGTGTGAACGCAAAAGGCGAATTCATCACATTGATGATAAGGTGGTCGTTTTTACAAGTTTTGTGTCTATTTCTTATGGGAGAGCTAGAAGCTAGGGAAGCGGTTGGGCATGAGATGGATCAATCAACATTGTAGATATTGATGTTGTTGCTCTTCCCATGCACTGCCTCTTCCCTGGCTCTTCTTTATCGCTCTTTCCCTTCTCTGTAATTGACACTTTTTTACCTCAATTTCAAATTATCAATTCATATTATATGCATTTTCTAGATTTTTTCATAGACCACTAATTTTACCATTAATTACAAGTAGAATTTAGAAGCGTTTATGTTGTTTCTTGACTTAAAACCATGTTGGATCAAGTACTTATCCCCATTACAATGTCTATCTCATTTTGCACGATCTTTCACAAATACTTTTGACCATCAATATCTTTAATTACGTAATAATAACAAAAATTATGATAAGTTGATATTATAATTTATAAAACTAAATATTGAGACGAGTCTAACATAGGTGTGAGCATGGGACGGGTACCCGTACCATTAGTACTAACATTTCGAGTAACCGATAACCAACATCACTAAAAGTGATATCCATAAACCGAACTGATAAGTTCGGGTACCCGGATTTTTGGATCGGTTATCGGGTATCCAATAAGGTATCCAATAATGATAATTAAACTTAACAATGTAGTTATTATGATATCATTTAACACTAATAACAACAATTTCACATGATCTTGACTAAATTATTAATAATATTACTAATCATTGATATTATAAAGTGATTATGAAGTAAAGTAAGAGTTTAGATTTTGGAAAAATAGATTTAAATAGGAAAAAAAAAATTGTTTATCGAATCAGATCGGGTAACCGTTAATTTTAAAAGGGATATTTCATGAAATGCCACTTAGTAATTGCGAAACTCACCAAATGCCATCTAACTTTTCAAAATTCACCAAATGCCACCGAGTTTTAACAAAATTCACCGAGTGCCATTAATGACTGACAACCGTTAGTTGACCGTTAGTGGACCCCTCCACTTGTCACGTGTCAGCTTCTGATTGGTCCATTTTTAAAAAAAAATAAAAAAAAAATTAAAAAAAATCCAAAAACAAACCAAAAATATAATTAAAAAAAATTAAAAAAACCAAAAATATTTTAAAAAAATAAATAAAAAAAATTAAATAAAAAAAAACCCCACAAACCCCAAACCCCAGCAGCCTGGTCCCACGAAACCGGATTGCGCGTCGACGGACCCCCACCCCTTCCCCGTCGCGCCACCCACCCTAGCCCAAACCCCTAACCCGAGAAACCCCACCCCCTCTTCCTCCACCACCCCGAAACCCCACCCCCCTTCCTCCACCACCCTGAAACCCCCTCGCGGGCCGGCGCCTCTGATGAAGATTCAGGCCGTTGAATCGCCAGCGAGTCGGAGAAGATAGAGCGGCACAACAACATATACAGCAGTCGGCAAGTCCATTTCACCGATTCCAAGCCTTGATTCGACGCCTCTCCTGCCGACAACGACACCAAACCTCAGCCTGATAATCCATCGGGAAATCTGGAGCCGTTCATGGGGGTTAAAGCTCGAAGGTTAGCTTCTTTTCACCCAACCAAACCACCTCAGATAATTTGTCGGGAAAGGGAGGGGGTAGCTAGGGTTTCGGGGTGGTGGAGGATGGGAGGTGGGGTTTCGAGGTGGTGGAGGAAGGGGGTAAGGGTTTCGGTCGGGTTTTGAGTTTAATGGGTGGGTGGTCGCGACGGGAAAGAGTAGGGGAAGGGGAGGGCTTCAGTGGTCACCGGCGCGCCTGTCGGTGAGGATACAGGTCGCCGGCGGCAAGGGTTTCGGGGTTCGGCGGCAAGGAGGGGGTGGTGGTTGGGGTTTAGGTGGTTTTCTGTTTTTTTTTTTTTTTTGTAATTTTTTTTTAAATACTTTTGGTTTTTTTTTAATTTTTTTTAATAATATTTTTGGTTTGTTTTTGGAATTTTTTTTTTTTTTTTAAATAGACCAATCAGAAGCTAACACGTGGCAAGTGGAGGGGTCCACTAACGGTCAACTAACGGCTGTCAGTCATTAATGGCACTCGGTGAATTTTGTTAAAACTCAGTGGCATTTGGTGAATTTTGAAAAGTTGGATGACATTTGGTGAATTTCGCAATTACTCAGTGGCATTTCATGAAATAGCCAATTTTAAAATGATACCCAATAATCATACCTGATAACAAATTATTGAAACGGGTACCCGAACCGTTATGGTTATCAAATCGGGTATCCTAATTATCGGAACGGTTACGGATCGAATTTTCGGATAGTTTTGCTCAGCCAATAACAATATCTCAGGTGACTATGCTTTTTAATTTTCCATTTATTTGGGCTAGAAAAGATTCAAAAGACTAGATTAGAATTATCAAAGAGTAAAATAGTAACATTATATTGTCTTTATGTTGAACATGTATATTGACCTACATAAGGTTTTATGTTTATTTGGTACCAATTTATGTCACATGAGGGAAAAAAACAAATTACAAATGCAACATAAATCCAAAGCGCAAAATCATACATGCGTGAGCACGTGACACGCAAGCGTAACATCACGCGTATCTGATATCAATATAAATATAGTCAGCTTATCATGTGGGATACAATTAGATAGGTCGTATAATTGTCCAAAATCCACTTTAAAGTGTTGACTCAGACATGTGTCAGCGGTCTCATCCCATTACACGTAAGTATAGTGTTATTTGTATCTCTCACAGTCTATATATGTAATTGGACAGTATCCACTTCAAAGTGTTGACTCGAACATGTGTCAACAGTCTCATCTCATAACACGCAATCATAGTGTCATCTATACCTCTCACTAGTCTGTACATAGTCAGCTGTCCAACTCATCATAGGAAATAAATAATACCAAATCAAAGCTGATACTAATTACCAAATATCTAGATGCAATGAAGTAATATCATCTTTGATCAAATCCTTTTATTCACACCATTTTCCTATGTCTATAAATAATTAAGAATTTTTTTAACAATACCCCAAGTCAAAAAAATCACTCAACAAGTAAGAAAGAGAGATAGGGACAGTGACCTAAACCTAGCTCCCTCCCTAGGCAAACCCACTCTCTCAAGAAAAACCCCTCAAATCCCTAACCCCAAAATAAAACCCTAATTTCATCACATCCTCTGTTTTCCCTTTGATTTCGAAATCCAAAACCCTAATTTTCTCCCTCTATTTTTCATGCCATAAAATCAATTCAACAATGTCCCAAAACCCACCTCAACAACCACCCCACCATTCTCTCTCCTCCGTCAACGCCGCCGTGAAAGGCTGCTACAGCTGCAGCTCTGACGACCACTGGATTCTCCACAACATCAAATTCCGAGAAGAAGAATGCCGAAAACTCTGCACTTCGTGTGTTCTAAAGCATCATCCGACGTCGTTTTGCCCTATTTGCTTCAACCTCCATGACCCCAAAACGCTAAACCCATCTTTACCATCTTCGTCGTCGTCTTCTTCTTCTTCCTTGAATCGCACCCTCACGTGCTTGAAATGCAGTTCTGCCTCTCACATCACGTGCATCCCTGCTAAAACCCCGAAATCCCCGTATCTTTGCCCTCCTTGTTCAAACCCATCTTTCAAATTCTTTGATTTGAAGAAACCCAGAAAAAATCGTGATCAACCGCCGTCTGACGGTGGTAGTGGCGGCGGCGGAGGCGGTGGTGGGACCCCTTCGACGAAGGTGGTGGAAGAGATGAAGCAGTATATTGATGAGAGAGCGGCGAAAGTGTTCTTGTTGGCGGCGAAGATATCGGCGATGTCGATGAGTAGGGCGGCGAGTATTATGAGGAGTGATGCTGAGAGGAAGGCTACTGATGCTGCATTGGCTAGGAAAAGAGCAAAAGAAGCAATTGATTATGTGATGAGTTTATCTACTTGGATTCCCAAATCCAAACATCAGAAGAGGGATGTTCTTGTTTCGGGTTCGAAGCCGGGTTATGAGGTTGTTAAGATGGAAACCAATGGTGGGGTGCACAATGTGGGTGGTTCCGGTTGCGGTGGTGGTAGTGAGAATGGGAATGGAGCGGTGGCCGTGGTGCCGGCGCCGCAGAGTAATGGTGGGAATAATCAGAATAACAATCATGTGGGTGGTAATGGGAAGGAGACTGCAGTGTAGTTAAGGAATTTTAGTGTTTGTTTTTGATAATTTACAGGTTAAATTTTGGTGGGGTTGAAAGAGGATGATCATTTTGTTTTGTGAAATTAATTGTGAATTTTATGTTATGTTGATTGATGTAAATGATGATCTTCTGGATTGGTTTGTTGTATGATAGTTGGAAATGGGGATGATGAAATTTGTTTGTAATTCGAAGAAAAGAAAATTCAATCTGTTTTAATCAAATGAATGCCAAATTTGGTGGTGTTTTTAGGAATGCTATTGTTAGTAGAATATCCAAATTGTGCATTTGGTGAAGAATCTGTCTTGAATTGCTGTTTTTACTTTTTAAGGATAAAAAATTCTATTCTTTTTAGTGGGACAGTAGACACAAGTTTTATCTAAATGTAGCATTTTTCAAACTTAAATGATGTTGCTATTTGTTCATGCAATAATCACACTTCTTATGTTCAACATGATCCAAGTACACGGTCTGAAGTGTGCTGCTGCAGCATTTAAAAAGTAACGAGGACATAACTGTGAGTCGTGAATGAACGCATACATGAACGAGTCCAGATGGAAGAATAAATCGAGAGGAACATAAACAATAATATTTTAATTTTTTATTCACACATTATTTACAATAGTTTTATTGACATTTTAGTGTAAAAATAATAGAATTTCCAAAATTATAACATATTCTGGAATAAACAGAACAATTTCTGGACTTTCAACAGGAAGAATATATGGACTGAATGACTAGCCTCTTTTTTCTGGGCCAAAAATATTCCATGGTACATGTTTTGTCAACATAGGTAATGCTTGATCACTGTGATTACTGCCTTCTCACCAAGTTTACAGTGGCCGAAATGCTGAATGAATGAATGTCAACTAATTGACAGGCAAATGGTTGACTGATGGCAACTGGCTGTTTCTACCTTTGGCCATACTTAAAGAGTTAAGAGCCAAATCTGCATCAACACAATGAAAGAGCTTATAAACCAGTCATGGGACGTAGGAAACACTTAAACTAGTAATTATCATGCATCTGTCTTGACGATTCAATATAATGGACAACGAAACATCTGTCTCCAAAACAGTCAGTACAATATACTATCTGTTTTACTGTTTGGCAAACATACCTGAACACAGAGTTTGGATTCAAATATAAGCCTCTTGAAGTTTAAAGGCGGAGTTTCATTTCAAAAACAACACGCAACAAAGGAGCTAGACTATATGCAAGTTGAAAGGTTAAGGTGCATAATATTGTCATCAAATTTAACTGTCACATAATTGGGGCTGCTTCCACAAGGCACGCATCAACCACTTTAGACACTCTGGAGAGCACTGTGGCCCAAGCACAAACAATGTAAGTCTTAAAAAAAAAAAAAAATCACCAGAGAACAAGAGAACCTCTACCCTCTCTATATTAAAATCTTAGTCCAAATAATCTTACAATCATATCCTTCTTGTAAATTCAACTTACAACTCATAGGGTGGTAGATGTTGCATTACCATAGTGGACTCAATTTCCAGTAAAACCATATGGCAGTGCCATAACACAGAAAGTGGTTATGCTCGCTTGTCAAATGCTGCAGAGTGAGAGTCCAGTTATATATGATCATTTTGCATCAGAATTCATTAAGTTACAAAAAGGCCAGGTAATGAAACAGCTTGAATTACTATGTTACTTTCCAAATCAAACCTATCACAACTAAAAGTACAACCTGCTAAAACTTATAAATAGAGACAAAACACATACTTCTTCAAGGCCATAACCTATTCACCTCCACATCAGACGAGGACTGCCAATTCAAGCAAATCACAGAGATGCTTTGGGAATCTAGGGTAATTAAAGAGGGGTAACGTTGGTTAATATAGGGCCATATAATGCTCATTCTGATATAAATTTAAAGTATTTCCAGCAGACAGTTGAAAAAAAATAAAGCAGCTGAGCACAAAATAATACTTTGTGTGATGAAATGGAAATCTATACATGCAGCTTAAAATTCCTTACCTACCAGCATTTTTGGTGCAAGTGAATTGGCCAGAGAAAGATTCTAGCAATCTGGAGCTGTAGCGTAGCTATATGGAATACAATGTTCTTTAAACTTCCCCTAATCCCTCAGAAAGTATGCTACTAACTTCATCCTGCATGACTGAATTGTTGGCCATGTCAGGTTCTAATATTTGAAGCTCTACTTCTTGATTAGAGACAGTTCCAATCCGCCATCCATGCGTACTAGCATCTGGAACCCAACCCTTTTCCAACATCAAATCAAGTAGTTGGCATGCCTCAGATTTATATCCCTCTTTGCAAAGGCCATTAATTATCAAGTTATAAATTTTCGGTTCAATAACCTCAGTTTCCTGACAAATATTTTTTATTGTCATCCATATTATATGTAACTGAGAGTGATCAGCTAAATGCAACAAAAGGCTAGCAAGTGTTTCACTTTCAGGGAGTAAGCTTTTGTTAACCATCTCATTGAAAAACAAAACACAATAGTTTGTTTCTCTTAAAGCAATCATGCATTGAATGAGGATGCAATATGCTTCCATGTTGAGAACCAAACCACGCCTTAGAATTTGCGAGAGGAAAGTTAGGCCCTCATATGGCCTATTGAGTTTTAACAGACCATGCATTATAGCAGTACAAGTCATGGTGTTTACAGAATTCAGGCAATTTTGACCAAATTTCAGCAACCTGATTGCTTCATCTACCTTTCCAGTTGCAGAAAAACCCTTGATCAAACTGCTGAATGAAGAGGAATGCAGGGAACAATTTCTTGATGACATGAACATGAATACTTCAGAGGCCTCTTCAAACTTTCTACATTGCAAAGTCCTTTTATTAGCTTATCATAAGAATTAGGATCCAGAATCCAATCCTTTCCACTGAATAGTCGAAATAGCTTTAGAGCATCCTCATACTTGTTCAAATTACAATTGCCAATGACCAGGGCAGAGTAAGTAGCAAAGTCAGGTTCATAGGCCAAAACAATCATCTTTCCAAGAATAACACAGGCTTGCTTAACATATTTTTCATTGCAAAGTCCTAGAATAAGGACATTCCAGGATAGATGATCCACCATATCCAAGTTTAGCATTTTTTGAAGTAGATCTTTGGAAGCTAGGAAGTAATGAGCATCACAGTAACCTTGAAGGAGCACATTGTAAGGAGCAGGGTCAACAACATGACTATCATCTAACAAAGTTCTTGCCTCGTCAATGCTCCCGAGTTTGCAGCTTGCACTAAGAATGTCAACAAGAACATCAGTTGAAGGAGTAAACCCAGCATTTCTCATCTCATGGAAAAGCTCAGTTGCTTTGTTGAGGTCTTTCATGCACAAACATTTGACCATAGACGAGTAGATGCATACATCAGGCTCCAACTCTAAAGTTATCATCATGTCGAACAACCTCATGGCTTCTCCTGGCTTATTTTCTATACATAATAGTGGTATGACACTAGTATAGAATCTCAAATCAGGATTCACGCCAATTTCAAACATCTCATTCATTACTCCAAGTGCTTCATCCCCAAGGTTTGTGGCCACAAGACCATGTATAACAATCTCAAAAGTCCTACAATTAGGAGCACACCCCTTCTTCTTCATCCTTCTAAATTGATCCAGGGCATTATCAACCATCTTTGCATCAAATAACGCTTTTATCAAATTATTCAAAGTATCAACATTTGGAAGAGTCCCCGATTTCACCATCTCCTTATAAACCAACAATATATCACGAAAACCTCTCTCCATCTCTACTAGAGCACTTAAAAGATCATTCCAATTACCCAAAGTGGGCTTACACCCACTAGAATTCATAACCAAAATTACCCTAATAGCTTCATCTAACCTACCATCACCAACAAATACATCCACCAAACCTCCTAGAGCCTCCGCCGCACCAGGGCACCTATCCCTAACCATTTCCCTGCAAAACCCCTCCATTTGATCCACATTTCCAGCAAAACCCAGCTTCAAAATAATCCTAGAATAGGTTTCAGCAGTATGCCTAAACTGTTTTTGAATAGAAGCCCATTTAAACACTTTAAGAGCTGAATTCAGATCATGAGTACTATCCAAAACCTTGATCAAATTGTCCGGGGACAACCCATTTTCATTTTTCAAGTACTGTATTCTAGGATCAATTTCACTCCTAGTTAGCACATTTTGGGGGGATTTTGATAAATTTTGAGCATGATTTACACTAGAAATTGAAGAGAGACACTTAACTGAAAATAACCATCTTGAAATTTTACTAGAAATCATCAAAGATGCAAACTTTACAGACATTTTGAATAAAAAACATTGCAATTAAATGAAGATTGTGCAGAAGCTAACCTGTCTTGCGATTAAAGTGATGAATACTTGAAGGAAATTTACAGGGATTGAAGCAAAACTGAAGACGAACTATCTATTTTTGGAAACCTTGAAAAGGGTTATTAGAATTTAGAATTCTGCTTCGCCTCTCGTTTCGGCGGTAGAGAAACCAGGAAGTATAACTGGGTAGCGGAAATGAAGCGCTGAGTTTTACAATGATTAAGTAAAAAAATGAAAAGGCTATTGCTCGCAACTTTTTCTTTTCTTTGTTTTTTCCCTAAAACAATAGGCTAAACTTGGGTATATTGCCTTAAAAAAAAACTTGGGTTTATAAAATCACAATGTTATGCTAATGCACGAGATTAATTATAAAACTAGTGAGTAATCCGAGCATTGCCCTGGGTTGTTATTATTGTAGAAGTACAAGCAATAAATTTTTTAAAGGCTTTTCAAAATTGTAATTGTCACTGTCAAACTAAAATTGAATTATTCATTGAGTATTTTTTTTTTATAATTTATTTTTTGCATATTATTAACATCATTGATAATTAGCTTAGATGGTTGAATAGTCATCTTTGTTACAAGAGGTTGAGGGTTCAATCCTCCTTATCCTTATATTTTTATATTTGTAGAGCGTCAAAATAATGAATTTGAAAATTGAATTGGTAGATAGTTTAATGTCGAAGATTGATTTACCACTGATTGCTGATTTAGTTACACAATACGTACCGTTAATGAACTACTTAGAATTTATACCGAGACATATGTTGTAATACCCCGTATTTTTTAAACGTATTTTCTAATTAATTAATTAATTATTATCTAAAAAGGATATTTTAGTAATTTATTCTACTATTTGAATTTTGGAGCCAAAATGATATTTGAATTTTGGAGCCAAAAGTATTTTAAAACTTAATTATTATTTTTGGATTTAGAATAAGATATATTATCTATTTATTTTATTTTAAAAACGTGATTATTTATATATATTTCGGATATTTTAATTAAGCAAAAACTATATTTTATTATTTAAATAAGGAGGTCCGAAAATTCCTATTAAATGGCTAATAATTTCGGATTTTCCTAGTGTGGAAAATCTGATTTTCTTAGTTAATTTATTTAGTGAATAATTGGTATTCTCTTAATTAATTATTGTATACAATATATATTATTTACACAATTATTTTGAATCCTTAAATCTAGCAAATAATTTCCTAAAATACACTAAGGAGGTCCGAAAATTTGAGCTATGGAAGCTCAATATTTTCGGCCCTCTTGGTTGATTTTTGGGGGAATTATTTTGGTAATTTGTATTTTAATTATCTTCCTCAAAAATTATTATATTCCTTAATTTTTGTTTTCCATCTCCTAAATATTTGATCATCTTATTTCCATACCTTAATTTATCCTTGATTATTCCCCAAATAAACCTCCTTTTCCATATTATTTTTCATGAAAACATACTTTCCTTAATTTTATTATTCTTACTCACCTTAATATTAAACTCTTCATAATTATTAAGCTCTCTTCTCCAAGTAATTTCCTTAATTCTTTTTACCATAATTCATTGGGAAATTCTCAACGGTGACCCCCCAACTTTTGCTACGCACCAATGGTGACCTCCTTTTTTTTATTATATAAAATGACCTTAGTTAAAAATTTCATCTCGCTCATAACCTTATTTCATTAAATATTAACTATGGTTAGATTTGTATCTTTTTAAAAAAAAATAAAAATAAAAAAAAAAATTAAAAAATTAACCCCAACCACCAAAAACCAGACACCATCACCCTTTTCGGTGACGCTACCCTAGGATTCTCCGACCGCCGGCGATGCTACTCAGGCTCCCTGACCGCTAGTGACGCTGCGCCAGCTCTACCTCAACCATCGCCAGTTAGATTCCCAAATCCCCACCCACGACCCTCACTCTCTCTCCTCCTTCTCACGTCACCACCTCTAAATCGCCGAACTCAGATTCCCAACCACCCCCGACCATCAAATTACCCAGATTCGACCACCGATCGATCTCTCTCTCTTTCTTCTCCGCCTTCTCCTTCACCGATCTCTCTCTCTTTCTTCTCCGCCTTCTCCTTCACCGATCTCTCTCCGATCCCCGCCAAGAATCGAAAACTCAAACCTCAAACCCTAAACCCACCACCCCTCCTTGACCAAAATCAGCCCCATGGTGAGAATCGAAGGTCAAAGGAGAGAAAGTTGTGAGGTTAGGGTTCGGGTCTAGGCGGTGGAAAGGGTGGAGGCGATGATTCGGCGATTTGGTGGGAGGTCGGCATTTCAGATTAGGGGTTCGGTGGCTCCGGTGAGGGTGGAGGTGATGCTGGCCGGCTACATTTGGTGGGGATGAGGGTGGAGGTGGTTGCTAGGATGGTGGTTTTTCTTTTTAGTTTTTTATTTTTCAAAACTAACCATAGTTAGTTTTTTTAACTAAATAACACTTATTAATGTCATAAGTGAGATAAATTTCATAATTAGGGTCATTTTGTATATATAAAAAAAATTAAAAAAAAAGGGAGGTCACCATTGGTGCGTAGCAAAAGTTGGGGTCACCAATGAGAATTTCCCTAATTCTTCCCACATTTGCTTACTATAATTCTTGCATGAGCTAGCCTATAAATACTCCCTCATACCTCTCATATTACCAAAAACTCAATTCTGTTCTTCTCTCTTACTCTTCTTTTCCCTCAACCTTTTCCTACTTTTCTTCTCCTCTTTTCTATAAGAAAATCAGCCGTATATCTTTGGAACCAATTTTTGGGCACTTCTGGTCAGTTTTGGGGTATTTCTATTTCACAAAAAATTATTCCTCTTGAAAAATACTTGAGGTTAAGCTCAAGAATCATCTAATTCGGAGTTATATTGAAGGAGTAATGACCTCTGAAAGTTCTGCCTATTCTTTCCAATGCAAATCCAATTCTCTTTAATTTCTCTTCTCTTTTTCTTTTCTTTTCTTCCTTGCGCCACCACCACCTCCAGCCACCTACCGGAAGGCTTCCCCACCTTGTCGCCACCTCTCTCTCTTTTCCTTGGTTTTCTACCTCTTCTTCTTCTCTTCTCTTATTTAATTAACTATTATTATTATGGGGGATTTATAAAATTATTATGAGTAGTTTTAATTATATAAAATCAGATTTTTATTCATGTTTATGAAAAATAATTTAAAAGGTTCATTTAAATATAGTTGGAGGGTTTTTAATTTATTATTGTGATTATTTGTTAACCTTATATATTAATTAAGGTTGTATTTATTTGTAGAGTGTGTTTGATCCAAGTGCTTGAAGTTTCTTTGTGTTTGCTAAGAAAGGACCAAAGGTACGTTAGGTGGCTAGATACTTTTGAAATTGATTGGGTTAAATAAGCATGTTTTGCATTATTTTTATAATGATTGAATTAAATTGAATTAAATTATGATTTATGAAATAAAAGCATGTTTAAATGATTGGTTTTGATGAATAAATTGGAGGGTTAATTTTATATCATGTTTTGAATGGTTTGAATTATTTATCAAGTTTGAATAAAGAAATTGATTTGAAAAGTTTGATGAATTAAAAAAAAAAGAATTTTCAAAGGGAGAGTTATTGATTTTGAAAAGTTATTATTATGAGATTTAATTCTCAAGTATTTATTAAAAGGTTGATTTTAAAAGCATGTTGAATTTAATTAAAAAGGAGTTTGAGGTAATTATTGGAATTATTGAGTTAAAGAGGTTTATTGAATTATTTCAAAGGTTTTACAAGCATAATTATTATATTAATCCCACTATGCGGATTCATTGAAGACTATGGACTTTGTATGACCTAGTCTTTCTCCAAGAATAGCCTTGAAATAGTAGGAGACTAGCTTGAGGGGTGTGCACACTTAGAGAGGAGGTTGAGTTTTCGAAAATAATTGATTTGACTAATCAGTATTATTGAGTTAATGAGTTATATTGAAATTATTTTGAGAATATTGAGAATTGGTTTTCAAAAGAGGAGTTGGTTTTATAAATCGTTTCATCGAATTATTGAGTTATTGAGAATTGGTTTAATCATGAGTTTTTGAAATTCATTGGATTGATTATTGGAATTGGTTTTAAAGCATGTTTGCTAATAATTTGAATTTACTTATCTTACACTTATCGTACATAGCATATTTTTCTAACCCGCATTTCTTATTTGTTTTGGTTCGCCCGGTTTACCGTAACGCTAAGCAGTGTTGACTAAATTCGGGTGGAGTAAGGAATTATGCATATGGGAGTCCTGGGAATGTTCTTCACCTAGATTAGGAATGTTGGTCTTTGTTTAATTATGAGTACTCATGACTATGGTTACTATTTTTATTATTAATAATAAAGAAAGAGTTTAAGTTTCCGCTGCGAAGTATTGGCTTTGGTTAGTAAGTTTGAGTAGCCTTGTGTAATCACGCGGCAGCAATACGCCTAAGGCTATCTCTACGGTATAATTATACGTATTATACTAGTATTTCCGTAGAGGGAGATTTGAGAGTGTTACATATATTTAAATATTGTACTCTGTAAATATAACTTAAGTTTGTATAACAGTTTATAATATTAGCTTGATGATGACACGTGTGTGACACTTATAGGTTGACGTTTGATAACGTCGACTTAGGTTTGAATGCAGGGTGACGTTTTATGACGTCAACCTGTATTCAAGGATTTTTGTTTGAATGCACCTGAACGATTCCAGAGAGAATTTTGGTTGAGTTTTATGAGCTCTTGGGAATAATGATATGCGGATCCTCTCTACTGATGGAGGAATGACGTATTTATAGGAGATGAGAACCCTTTGAGTGAACTTAGTAGGTTTGGGCTTGGCCCATTTAATGACTTAGAAGTCTTTGAAACTGGTCAATTTGATTTATTTTATAACCCGAACCGTACTTGATTAATTCGGATTATTTATTTGGGTGGGTTAAAAATAATTAAAATGGATCATTAACATGATTTAACCAAATTAATTTATTTAATTTAATGTAAGACACTCATAAAATTTTCGTGTCTACAAATTTTCCCCTCGAGACTGTGTCCCATACACGAGTTGAAGTGTTTGGCGTGACAAAGTCTTGACCCCTTTTGCTTGACTGAAAGTAACCAATACTTAATATTTTTTATTTTATTTTATTTTTTTTATTTTTTTTTGGTATTGGATTTGATTTATGGGAATATTAAATTCACATGGATGAGCAATGTCATGTGATTTCAATGAACTTTCTAAAATGCAAAAAAGAGGTACTCCGATCCTTAATACTAGGGCAATGGGCCAAA